TGAGTAAAGTATATGAGTAGAAGGTGAGTTTGATGAGTAAGAAGGGAGATAGACGACTAAGAGGGAAAATAGATGAATGAGCCGGAAGGTAAATGGGTATGAGGGAATATGAAAATGAGGAAGATAAGTATGCGGGAAAACATTAATATAATAGACGGTAGATGGGTATAATGGAAAACACATGATTATGAGGAAAAGTAGATGAATAGAAGGAAAGGTAGATGAGTAGGAAGAGAAAGTCAGGAATAAGAATAGGAGATGAATAGGAGTAAGTAGAATATGAGTGGGTAGAGGAGAGGAGGCAGATAGATAAGGAAGATGAGCAGGGAGCTGAATAAATAAGAAGAGAGGTAGGTGAGTAGGTGTCAAGGTAGATGAGGAGGCGAGGTAGGAAAGGGAGGACGAGGTGAGTGAAAAAAGGTGTATGTAGGATAGACATAAAAGTAAATAAGCAATTAAATATAGATATGTTAAAATTAAGATGAAAGGTGAAAGAACGTAAAAATTCATCTAAAAAATAGAAAATTTAAAAAGAGAAGGAAATTAAGTGTGTATTTTAGAAATATTTAAAATAAATCAAAGAAAACATATAAATACACATAAAAAGAAAAAGAATATTTCCATAATAATCACCAGGTGAACAAACAGAAGGCATTGGAAAGGGAAGACGAAACAGCAGAAAGGAAGAAGAGAAAGGAATAAAGAATAAAAGAAAGATAACCAGGTAAACGTATAAAACTTTAGAAGAGGGAAGAAAATGGAAAAAAATAGAAAAAAAAGAAAATCCAGATAGTCAGGCAGAAGGCAAGAGGGAGTAAATAAGAAAATAAAAGAGAGAAGAAGAAAAACACATAAAAGACAGAATGAAAACAAATAAAAGACAAGAACGAAAAAAATAGGAGAGAAAAGTGATACAAGAAAGAAAGAAAAAAACAACAAATAGATAGATAAAGTACAAGTAAAAGGAAACATCAAATGAAAATGGAGAAAAATTAATACATAAAATGCCAGTGAGTGTGAAAAAGGGGATAAAAAAGAAAACAAATGTAGCCATGTAGACAGAAAAAAGTTCACAATAAGTACACAATAAGTACCAATAAGTACATAGAATAAAGAAAAAAAAAGACCTAAAGAACATCCTTTCAGAAAAAGAAAAGACAGATAATAATAAGGAGGAGAAAAGACAAGGCGAGACTACCCACGCCCACACAACGACGATCCCCACGCCCACCCCCACCCCCACCCACTCCCCCTAAGTGCCCTCCTCCCACTCACTCCGTCTCAGCGCCCTCCCCCCACCCCTCCTCAACTCCTTCCCCTCCCCCCTTGACTCCCTCCTCCTAACCCCATGTATTCGAAGCTCTCCCTAACCCCCTCCCCCCGTCGACGCCACCCAACCCCCATTCCCTCGACACCCTCTCTACCCCCTCCTCTCACCCCCATACCCCTCAATGCCCCCTAACCCCACCCCTTCAACGCTCTCGGCTCCATCCCCTCCCCCTTCGCCGCTCTCCCCATCCTCTCCCCTTCGAGGCCCTCCCCATCCCCCTCCCCTCGACGCCCTCCCCATCCCCTCCCCCCTTCGAGGCCCTCCCCTCCCCCTCCTTAAGGCCCTCCTCTCGCCCCCTCCTCTTTAACGCCCTCAGCCCCCCCTCCCTCCCCCCCCCCCCACCCCGTCAACGCCCCCACCTTGACCCGAGTCGTCGACGGCGAGGTTAATGACCCGTCTTCCACAACCCGCGCCGAAGATACTGATAGATTCTTCGAAAACCTGGAGGAGTCTTTGCCAGATTTTTTTTTTTTTTTTTTTTTTTTTTTTTTTTTTTTTTTTTTTGAGAAGGGATGGGGGGGGGTAGTGGAGAGGATTAGGAGGAGGGGGGGGAGAAAGATGAGTTTAAGAAATGGTTTGGTTAGGTAGGTGAATAAATAGGTGTGTGTGTGTGTGTGTGTGTGTGTGTGTGTGTGTGTATGTGTGTGTGTGTGTGTGGTGTGTGTTTATGCTTTTACTTTTTTGTTTGTTGTTTTTATATACACGTGTGTGTATTTTACATACGCCCTCTTCACGTATCTCTGCACGTCTATCTCTGTGTCTGTCTGCCATCACGTGGAAGGGATTTTTGGAACTTCTATTCGATCTCCGGGAAGCTTCATCTTAGACTTTCGCTTCAATTTTTTGAAGGGAAGGGTGGGGGGGGGGAGTAGGGAGGAGATAAGCAGGGGGGGGGGACGGGGGGGAAGTAGGGAGGAGGTAAGCAGGGGTGGGGGGTTATGTGAGAGCGTATAGGGGAGAGGAAGAGAAGGAGAAAGAAGGAGGAAGGATGAAAGAGGGAGAGGACATGAGAAGGGCAAGGAAGGGGAGAAGAAAAAAGGCGACCAAGGAATAAGAAAGAAAGGAAAGGAAGAATCTAAAAAAAAAGGGGAAGATGAGAAAGAAGGAGAACAGGAAAGATTAAAAGACGGAGGAGGCGATGAAGGATGGGAGAAACAGGGGGAGAGGAAG